TTAGTGCAGATGATAGCTATGTGTAAAGTTTACTAGTATCTCCTCCTTACACATCCTAAAGCGTAGTATATCATCCATTCTTTTCAATTATTTTACACCATACATTACATCAGATAAACGCCATAAAGGTTATTTTGCTAAGTTATACCCTTATTTTCCTATATATGATGCGGTGACATTATTTATTGTCTCAAATTGTATAATGTATTCGAGCACATTTTATGTTGTTTTCCTTTCGGAGTTCAAAAAACCTAAAAATTGTTCTGATCTGGTGGTAAATACTACTTTTTCTGACGAGATTAAATTAACTTATCTAAAGGGAATTTATATGATCTGAATTTATTACTGTTGACTATGTTTGATGTTTTGTTAGTCAATGAAGTAAAATTATTTATTAAATGTCTAGTTTAGATGCGATGTGATTTATGTATGACTACCATATGATTAGATCAGATGATGTGTAGCACAATGTTATGACGAGCGTGCTTATGAGATAAATTATCTGTATTCTTAGTCGTCTCAATTAGACATGGTTGAACTCCCATGTGACAACGAAGTTTTATGAAATCATATGGATAATGCTGGATCTTATAATTATATATAACAATATCTATAAACGAAATGGAATGAGCTGATCTTTCGTCTTTAAACTAGAGTGCAAGAAATTAGGTGAAAATAAGAATGCATACTTGACAAGAATCTCTATATAAACGAAAATACCTAGTGAGTTATAGAGCCTAAAGAAGATAATATAATTCAAGGTACTCCATGCTTCGCCTTTACATATAGTGTTGTGAATTTAACTGCTGCTTTCTTAAGGCTTCTTATTCGTTTCATTCAGACAGTTATGCTTTAAAAATGTTACCTCTATATTGTGAAAACAGGAATAATAATATCAACATATGCACAGGTGTGGATATTTAACCCTCAACAAATCGAAGTCATGTCGTTGCCTCTGTCTTATTATGAGCTTCCTATAAAGATAAAGTAGAATATCTGTAAACTCATGTATTAAACCTTACTAAAAATTAGTTTATTTTAATTTTTCAAGTAATATGCATTCGAATTTAGATATGCAAAATGCACTTTCCCAGATCAAAGTTTTTTTAACTGTAATTTAATGTCAAATCCGGGTGCTATTAACATTAAGCGACTAGAATTCAGGATCGATTGGCTGTTTGCTTTAAAGAATGCTATATGCACTTGCTACCCATGTATCAATATGAGAAATAGATTTTAGTTGAAACATATTGTTTCATAAATCCAAATTTGTTATTGGTACTTCGACATTTCCTCCATTTGCAAAAGTTGAAATTAAAATCGATTGAAACAATAAGCCATGCGTTAACTTACTTTCATTCTAATTCCGTTATATTTTGCCCATTGTAATTATATTTCTGCGATAAATCGCTAGACAATTGACATATTTGAAGCTCAGGTTACAGCAACCACTTATAATATACTCGTGTGCATGCATGGTCGAAACAGCTTAAACTAGGGAATTAGGATACATCTTAGGCACGAATATAGATTACTTTATTTAATAAGAAACCTTACGGACTCACTAAAATAGGATTGCCTTATGTGAGGTGATATAATTAACAAATTCCTTTAATTCTTTACTGCTGTGTACACTTTGAACGTTTTTATACTGAATACCTCTTACTTACAATCTACAGAAAAGCCTTTGTAATAAAATAATCTCCAACATTCTGCCTAATTGTAATATAAAGTGCAATTTGGCTGAGATTTTCATTGTTAAATTGACATAACATAATCTAAATATCTATATTACACCTTTTAAATAACTATCTTATGAATTAGCTTCTTTGGAGTGACTTGCTCCACAATCAGTTTGGCTAAATCTCACGGTTATCTCTCGACTCATGCAACACAAAGCGGAGCTTGACGCACCGGCATTGTGTCCTAGGGGGACTATGAGAATGTAGCCACCGCATCGAGCCTCTCCGTTAAACTAATCAGCATGTAGCACTGAAAGTACGCAAAAGTATTTTAAATCAGAAACTACCTCTACTGAGACTCATTGCTTCAGTGCTCTTCTTGTGTCTTTGTTACCCTCTGAGGCCGAACACTGCTTTCTTGCACCAACGTCAAATTCCGCCATCGTCTGAGTTTTTCCCACATCGAGATCCAGACCTGTAACATTCTTTCATATAGGTAAGACACTCTGTGACTCGTTTTCCTGCTCCTCTATACAAAGTTGGGATATTATATACGGTAGCGTGAATCAGAGCGCATTCTATAGTGAATATTGTTCTGATTCAAGAGACTGGTAAGCCCAACTTCTGAACTCTTAAAAGCAGCTCAAATCTTACGCCATTTCCCTAATATTACATCATGTCGTTCCAGTCAACATGACAAACCACCTCTACAGAATAAGACAGCCAGATTCTTTCAATAGGCGTTTTAAGCGTTGAAATACCCACTTTTAACAGATCGAATCCACATTTTTG